GTCAACTTTGATTTTATGTTTTAAACGGGAAGTCAATATCTATGTATGATTTAAATGGCCTGCCTGAAAATTGATGGTTTAATTGGCCGAAATAACTCGGTTCATGTATTTAATGACATTTTTCCCATATCTAAATACAATTTCTGAACGCATGACCCAAAAACTGAAATGAACATCATTTGGATACTGCGTTCAGATGCCGCGTTCAGATGCTGTATCTTGATAACTCATCTAGTTCACCAAACGAACAGGCCCTAAGAGTTTCTGTGTATTTTTCATGAGCAGGAATTAAAAAAATTTTGTTTGTGGCTAAATGTTTTAGCAAACTCTGGTGTGGAGAATATGTTTTAATTTATGCTCTGCTCGTAGGTTGCCAACTATACAGCAGGAAATGCAACAGCAAGCTATTGTATATGGCCCTGTATCTTCTAATCTTGGGGTGAAGCAGCGAACTTGAGATTCATGTCGGAGTGTCTCTGCTTCATTTTATCATCATGTATGTTTCTTTGTGCAAGTCTTCCATAGTTTGTGCGTGATTCTTGTTTTTTTTTTTTAATGCTTTTCCGCCAGTGCTAATATTATGCTTTACTGTCAAACTTTATCATTGAAAGTTTCATTCTTTTGTTGTTTGTATTTCTGCTAAGAAGCTAATAACTTGCAAGCACACTAATAATTTTTTTATTTTATTTTAAGGGGAATCTTCTGTATATGTGCTTGATGAGAAAATGTCGATTGATATTGTTTTCCTTACAAAATTAGCATTTTAGTACAGATGGTTAGCATGTGTGTTGTTTATACTCTTCCTACTCTATTTCTTGCTTTTGCAGATGGCATTTGAACTCTATGGTATGCTGGCTGGGAATGTGTTAGTCCTATGACTGGGGAAAATGTGAAGCCAGCTTATGGAGGCGAGGAAGATGCATTCTTGATCGGAAAGTTGTGACTCCAAAATCTATGAAGTGATTCAGATGGTATGGCTTAAATTTTGAGCTTTTCCTTTTGCTTTTAGCATTTTTGCTTGTTAGTATTCGTACTATACCATTCACAGG